CAACTATTAGGTTCTATAAATTTTTTAATATGGCAGTTGGATTAGCCAAAACAAGTTGGATACTTAACAAGATTATTATATTACAACATGATGAATGCATAGTTGGAAACCATTTAAAATTATATATATATACACTCTTTTTTATGGTGGGAGAAAAAATAGACAGCATTAATTATTTCATAATTATAAACCTTCAGTGCTTTGTTTATGAAATGTAAGCATAGAAATCGCAATAAATTTTGCAATGTTAAAACTGAACACACCCATCAAAGAAACTTTTAAAAATTAAATAAATTTATGTACAATTTTTTTTTATTATTATTATAAAAATTGTTCATTAAGCTCATTGTAACCTAAATGACTTAATATAAAACCTTGAACGAGGGCAAAATTATAAATAACTTCATTTAGAATTTAAGACAGTACCAATGGAATGTAACCACTCTTTTTGATGGCTTCATGATGTATGAAGAATAGTAACCAGTCTCAAAATATAATAATAAAAATAATAAAAATAAAAATAAAAAGGATTTGTAAGAATGTAGGATGATATTCACATGTGCAAAGAAGTCAGTCTACAAATATTAGTTTGACATAGAACTGCAGCCACTAGTAACTTAAACATTGGAGTGGATATGCAAGTGGACTTTTTGCATACAGTGAAAGTATATATATACATATATATACACTCACACAAAATTCAAACTCCTAAATCTGATGGAGTAAAAAAAGTAAGAAAGAAAAAAACCACATACTTGGAAACCTAGTTTATACAAAAAGAATATATACCACAAAAAATTGCAAACATTTCACCAAAATAATAGATTGGAGATAGTTAATTGATATTCTCATACAAATTTTATAAGAAGAATAAAAACAATAAGGTGATCAAGTGCATCTTAAAAACTTTATCAAAGTAAACTAAAAAAATAAAAAATAAAGAAGGAGAAGAAGAATGAAGAAAACTTTCAAAGTTCATTTTGAAAACAAATTCAACATTGTGGCACCACAGCACCTTTATCATACACTGTTATGTTATATTAGATTTGTTTATTTATGTATTCTGGTCTCAGTTTGTTTCACGCATCCAAAACTTTTTTCCCTCTCATGGTCAAAGATTCCATGCCACTATGTAACACTTGCTTACTAGGTTGAATTTTGTGGGTGTAATCTGCCACGTGGTATTTGTGTGGAGAAGGATTTCATGAGTCCATTCCATTCTTCTCCACCATGTAGGACCCTTTTTTAGGTAACAGGGACCCACATACCAAATACTATCACTGAACCCATTCTCACTGACTTGCTCACTGTCACTGAAGCTTGTCTTCTCTCCCACAGATCAGTTTTGCATGCAGTGAAGTTGATGATGTTGTTGGTGTTTTTGGATCCTCAAAGCTGAACCCTCCTTTCACATACTTCAAATACCATCATTGATGGTGAAAATAGTGCAATCAAAGGAAGGAAGAAAGAAAGAAAATTGAATGAATGAATAAAAAAATAAATAATAATGAATGCTGCCAGCTCACTACAGTTGTTGCAAATCATTCATCTCATTGCCTTCATGAAGAAAATAATGCATGGGAATTTTCACACACTCGAAGTAGCTTAATTTAATTAGTGTGTGTGTGTGTATATATATATATATATATAGGTAGGTAGAGAGAGAGAGAGAGAGAGGTATGTGTGAATGGGCTTTTTGTGTTTCAAGGTATGTGTGTATTCCATAATGGGCTTTATGAGAGGGAGTAGAATTTCTGTCCTCCACTCCAAGTATGTGCCCAATATTCAACCATGCTGGCTTGTGTGCCTCTGAGTATCCCAACAAACTTAAGCCATCTGCCAGGGTTAAATTTCCAGGTCCCCCAAGGATTTTGAAAAGTACAATGAAATTGCTTTTGTACAGATGTGAGCTTTCTCTGCAAGGATACTTTGTAGACTCAATGGAGGAGAAAACTGGCCCTGCACAGTGTGCCTTTAAATAGCACTATATAATTAGTTGTTTCAACAATTCTGAAATCATTGATGCACGTATATATATATATATATATATATATATTGGAAAAAGCTCTGACCTTGCCCACCAATGTTTGGTATATGAGTACAAATGCATGCACTGCAGCAAGAGTAGGGAAGTTGCATTCCTACAGACACAGATACATACACACACACACACAACCTTAAAAGAGATTTGGGATGAACCTGGGTTCACCCACATATCTTCTGGTAAATCCTTATGGCTGGTTTCAGTTTCAGCATGCAATGCACTACTGGGTCCAAATCTGCATCAGCAGCTCGATACTTTCCACATCTAGAAGCTTTAGCATTTGCACAAAATCCCTCCCCACAACTGAGCAACCATAAAATTAACATCAATGCAGTAGATTGGAAATTACTCTGGGCAATTTCATTGTTACAAACCTCATCCTCCGCATATGATAACAATGACAACCCAGAAAGGAAATTCATATTTCGATGGCTAAGGAGACTTGAGAAGTGAAGAGGACAGCAGCACACTCACATCAGAACTCTTGTTCAGCATGCAAATCTAAATATAGAAGAGGAGATAACAAAAAAGAAAGACCCAAAGGGTATAATAGTAAGAAAAACAGAGGAAAAAAAAGGACAAGGTCATGGTTCAGTGTCTGAATAGAGAGAGAACACCATTATGTGCATCAACGAAACCTTTGAAATTTTGTGGTCCTTTTTCTGGCCAAGCGCACGTGAATGCAAAAAAGCAAAAAGGTTTGCGTTTGTGCGAGTGATCATGGCGAGAAAGCTTTTTTTTTTCTCTTTTTTTTTAAATTTAATTTAATTTCTTCCTGCAGCACCACAAGTCGCCATTTCTCGGCACACACAAAAGATCAAATATATTTTGTAAAATATATTACATCGAGTAATGGGTTAGTCTTCGAATGTGTGAAAGCTTCTTCCACTTTAAAGAAAACAAACAAAGAATGAATCCCTAGAAACAGTAAATTAAGTAATAGTCATAAAAGAAAACAAGGTGAGTGGAGTCTCAGAGAAGCAGCAACTGGAGAGTTTAGCGATGGCGACGAATGACACCTCAATTCTTCTCCAGACATGCGGCGACTGTTCACTAGCACTTATCTCTGAGGGTGCAACGGAATTAGCAATGGATTCTACCAGCGAAATTAGGCTTTCGGCTTCTGATCGGTAATCTTTCAGGTAGGAAGCGCGGATCGCACACCTTGTGCAACACTGGCCCCACATCTCATGGTGGTACTTCTATAGATGCGGTGACTTAATATGATGCTGTTTCCTCGAGTCTAGCCACGTTTTCAGCCCCGGAATCTGAACCCAAGTGCAAGAGGGGTTTCTTTTACAGCGGTAGTTTGGCCTGTGCCGCACCCCTATTTCCAGACATGGCCACTTCAATCGCCTTGAGGTGCGATGATTCCGCGATCCTTTTTGTAGGAGTTCCGTGAGCGCAGTGCACGTAACTGGCACTTGAATGGGTGAATTCGGAGCCCTATTTTAGCACTCGCTGTAGCGTAGCCGCGAATGTGGAGAAAATCCTCCCGCTCATTGAAAATCTTGGCCGTGTCTGCAAGGAAAGGTTGATGCGATTTTCCTGTGGGGAACGTGGAGGGACCTAACCGGAAACCAAGCTAGATAATCGGCCTAGAACGCCACGCTGGAAAAAGAAAATTGAAACCTGGATGCTGCCTGGAGAAAGTCTTGAAAGTAGGCTGGTGACTTCGCAGCAGTATGTCGCCTAGTCCCGTCATTTTGTTTCTCGGAGGTAATTCTTGCATGCAAATAATTTTTCTTCGTCGTCTTCTCCTACTGCTATTTCGTTTACCTTCGTTCGGTGCCGTTCGCAGGAGTCGATGACGCACTTTGACCCTCCAATCAGGGCAAGAACCTCTTCCAGGCGGTTTACGGAGATGAGTCATTCAGTCTATTAGGTTTTGTGGGAGCGATAAGGGAATGTTACTGCACCATGCCCCACTCACCCTGCCATCAAATTTGATACTTATTTTAGACAACGTTTTCGTTCATTTGAAAACTAGGTGGGGTGTGAAAACTGGTGGGACGCTGGACTTGTCTGGCACCGACCAGGCACTACGCTTAAATATAGTTACAAAGTATGACGAACCTGGACTGACGTATTGGCGAGGGAATCAGTCATTACGTTTCATGTGCATCTTTTTTTTGCTTGTTTTAAAATTTATTTTTGTGGTGATTGAATGACTTGATAAATTCGGAAGATGGTAGGCAAAGCACAAGACCGTGTGACCGTGCTTTTTTTCAAGCCATTGGGGAATTAAATGCTTCATGTGTGCTTTAGTAATTCTCACGGATCGTGTTGAATTGCTTGGTTGGCAGAGACTATGGATTTGACAGCTTCAAAGCCGATTATTTTTGAAGAATGGACTGCACAAGCCATTGAGTTATTGAATTCCATTGAAGACTCACTTGGGGTTTCCGTTCCTGAATATTAGCTCGTCGGAACTGTCATTAAAGTCGGACTCCTCTTCGCCAATTCAATAAGATAGGGTAGATCTCTCATTGCAGTCACACGAGCACTTGTCTACCACTAATCAAGCCGGGTTTTTTCATACATCGATTTTCAGATAATCTAAAACCAACTTACACCGCAAGCCTTTGTTGTTAGAATATCAAATATTAGTTCTTTACCTCTGCAATTCCGCCATTAGCATGTGGCAACAATTTCGAGGACAGTAGCCTTAATAGTGACCGCCACTGTTGCAGTGCACTGCAGTTGAATATTAGGAAACCGAAATTGATAGGAAGGTATTTTTGGGTTTTTATGTCAACTTTGTGAACAGAAAAGTCCAGAGGGAAAAAGATACTGGAAAAGTTTACAGAATTACGGCCGTCATTTCCCTCATTTACAACCCAAATGGAAAGGAGCTCTCCCCGAGGCACTGTGCGAGGTGGAGTGGTCTTCCGGGTGCGCGCACGCGTGAGATTGACCTACGAAAGCACCCCCCCCCCCCCCCCCCCCCCCGTATGCGATGCTGGTGGCGCTGCAATCTCATTTTTTCTACAGCAGTCCACTGTCGAGGGTGCGCTGGAGAAGACGAATTTCAAGCTGGCTCCGCCGAGTTTCTGATCAACCATCTTCGCCACATCAAATCCCCGCACCGCTTTCCCTTGTTTCCACCACGGCGCACTGATGCTTAACTTCTCCATTCGGTGTGAGCTGCACTTGATGTAGCGAGTTGGTTGCCTTTTGTCGAAGATCGTTGGACACCGACCTTGTGTTCGATCGATTGCTACGGCAGGAGTTCACAAGTGTTGGCTGGTTGCACCAGACTTCGGGTTCGTAGCAGTTGCGGTGCTTGCTGATTGTGAGTCGCGAAAGAGGAGGATGTCTGCGTTAGCGCATTGGATAAGGAACGTGCAATTCATTGCGTGTCCGTGATGTTTCATATTGATGCATAGTTTTGATGAAAGCCGAGGAGCGTTTGTCTTTATGCGAAATACTAGTGTTGGACTGCCCGCGCTACTTTGGTTTCTTTCATGGTCTAATCTCTGCTCTCTAGTTTTTCGAAGCGGCGTTCGGGTCAAGTGATTTATATCACACCATTCTTTGGTATCGAAAAATTGATTACAGCATTTAGGTTGACTGGCAACTGTGTGGCTAAGCAATTGAATGATTCGGGGGACTGCCCCATCGCTAGTTCGGTTCCAGGTGTTAAAGATCATGGAGAGTCGGTTGCAGAAAGTGAGGTTGTAGTAGTCATATTCTCGAATGGAGTTGTTGAAAGGTTTCAATTCAGGTTGCACCAGGTTTTAAAAAATTAAGTGATGGGGAAGTGCAAGCATCATCCACAGTCCGTCATCCCCGGTGATGGCATCTGCCCAAGCTGCTTACAGAAGAAGCTAAACTCCGTGTGGCGAGGGGAAAGTTACTCTGATGTGTCCGCCAAGGACACAGTAAGCTATATGGCCCCGCATCGATTATCAACCGGCGAGCCTATTCATCCACAGGAAGCGATTTCGGTGATTGGATCTATAGCCAGCATCACAAAGAGGAGCCATTTGAAGCAGTTCGGCCGGAACACGGCGGGGTTGAACATCGACAGCAGACGTGCGGACGATGTGCACACACTTAGAAAGGCCCCACATCCTTCATTCGATAGAGGGGACGCGGGTGTAAAGGCCGAAGCCGTAGGGGTGAGTATGTCAGGTTTAAGAACAGAACCCCGCAAGTTATTTCAGGATAGAGCGGGTTTTACGCAGGATTGGACGGAGCTCTACACTAAGCGGCGCTCCGACGTCTCACCGTCAGCCGGCTCCAGGCTGGTGTCGAACACCGTCTCCGGCGGACTTAGTGTGGGATCCCGGTCGAAGCCTCTGGTGGATCGAATAGCTAAGGAGACAGCCATGCGAGTGATCAGAGAAGTTGGCGATCGGCCGGTCGAGGAAGCGGAAGGCATCAGCCCCGCCAATCGATACCGCGAGCGGAGCAACCTCGCCGATTCTGATTCCAGTAGGATGCCTCATGAAAAGGCTGGTAGTGTAAGTCCCCTACCTTGGCATAGCAAAATCCGATCCAAGTGGGTCAAGGGACTCGGAAGTCCGATGAATTCCAGCAACAAGATATTCCCGAGCAAATCCGTCGAGACTGTGCAGAAATCTCAGGTTCACAGCAGTAGTCCAGCAAGGGAGCATTCGAGGCCAAAACCTGCCAGAGGCGATAAGAAGGCTTCGAATCGTGTAAACCTCCAGATCTACAACGTGGAACACGATAGCGACATCTCATCCCTCCGAGCGAAAGCTTCCAAGGCTTCGGAGACCGTTATCGAGGGGATGCCTGATCAGATTCTGAGGCCCGAGGATATGAAGCAGCGGTTGAGGACCTCACACAATACTGTGCTTCTGTGGCTACAGGCAATTATTTCGACCTAATCTCATTGAGTTTCATGCACACAGTGATTTCATTTTTGCATCGCTTATCTGGTCCCAACCACCAACTGGTTGTCATTTATGTGAGATTTGCGGTCTGTTTTACAGTTTTGGAACCGATCTCTAGGAATGATGTGCACATCATTTTCTTTTGTTTTTTTTTGTGCAACTTGGTATCCTCTGAACTGTGACACCTTTAGGGTTTGCTCATTGAGAAATGTGTTAGCAAATCTACTTATTGAGTTACTAGGAGATTCTCTTTCAAATGCGGATTGTCCTGCTCGTGAATACAATTATTCTGTTGTAATTTCAGTCAGGAGTGCTATCATTAAACCTTGTTTTTATTTCTTTTTCTGACTGCAGGATCTACCATGTCCACAATCGTCGCCGTATCACACATCCGATGGGTGGGAAGATCCATGTTCTTCGTCCTCCGACTGCGCGATGGAGACGAGGAACAATGATCTTTACCACGAGGATCTTACTCTTGTGGGGCATCTGCATGAGATTGCGGAGGAGCATGAATACTTCGAGGAATGTAGCGAAGAGCAGGAATTACGAACGTCCACAACCAACCATCTGAGTGATGTCTCTTCTTTCGGCAAATTCCTCATCAGAGCTGCACAGCGTCAGCCAAAAGAAGGGCTCTCCAGAGTTGCTCTTGCCACCCCAGCCCGGTGAAGATTGCACGATATCAGCAGCGCGAATTGCTTTCCATTCCCTGAGGTGTCCAAGTGGGATTATCTAGTCAAAGGAAGGCGAATGGTGGGGAGTATTCGCCAGTGCTCGAAATTCTTTTGGCAACCCCACAATTCCACTAGCTTCATGCACATCGTGAACTGGAACGAGGGCGTCGTGTGACATGGTAAAAATTAACCTCGAAAGGGACGCCATCCAGCGCTTAGGTCAAGCAAAGTCGTTGCCAGGGAATACAAAAATTTGCTCGTATTGAATCGTCGACTTGCTCTGAGCCAGTAGATTGACTGTGGTGTGCACCGTGCGGCTGTTACATTGTGTTCCAGCTTGTGCGTGTACTGCTCTGCTATAGAGCCTGGACAACGTAACCCCCTAACAACTCCAGTGCAGTGACCCACCGCCGTATCCACTCATTCTGTCGGCCTGCCGCTGCTGCTTAGATTTCTTGTTTTGCCAGCCTGTCACTGCTTAAGGCTCTGGCGTGTAGAAGTGGCCTTAGTGTATCCATATTATCACCCGAATTGGGTACTTCCATTTACTTATCCTCAATCATCTCCCCGCGGTTCAGAATTCCTCTTCAAATGTGTATAGATCTCCCTGTACTGAGTCCCATGTGAGAAGTCTTTGCAAGGTGCAGTTCTACGATTTGACGGAGGATGAGCTCTGACCATTTGATTCATAAGTGGGCTGAAAGCAGTACCTCCAAACAACTAAATTATCGAACTGTTGAAACCCCTAATAGTTACCCTTCATAGTGTAGACATGGGCTCTTTCAGTCGTAGGTAGAGCATATTCATAACACTAAATGTTAATACCTTACCTGAGTTATCAAATTGTTCAGTGCATTTTTACAGCTTTTAAATTACAGGGTTCATTTGAATCTTGCATCAAACTCTCCAATTATGCATGATTTTGTTCCTTCAATTGGGATATAATTTAACAGTAAAATTACGTACAGCATTCATTGAGAAACAGTTAGATGATTACTATGTTCTGCAGGAGCCCTCTGTTATTTCTCATTCTGGTCCTCTTTAATGCTTCTCAGAAAGTGCACTGCAACTTAGTACCATTGAAAACGTTATCACAGATGAGCAGTTTGCTCAATCAAAAGATCGCATAGATATTATGATTGTTTGAAGGTTCTGGAAGCCTACATTTGTCAAAACACTGTGCTTTTCTAAACACAGGAGCCTTCTGCAGGAGTAATCCTGATAGAGATTGAGCAACTTCTGCTTCTGCTTGCTCTGCCCTTCATTTCATTTCGTCATGCCTTCCAACTCAAAATTCCCTTGGATCGCTTCATTGCCAAGTAGTTGATGAATGGATTACTATCATTGCCAGTAGTTAAAGCAGAGATTGCATGCTCTGCCAAAACCTGACTGAGTAATCTAATTTTGTAGTGGATGAAACCACTTTCCTTGCCTTCTTGCCTCATTAGGAAATGAGTGGTGAGGTTGGGTGATGCACAATACAAAGAAAGAGAACTGAGTGAAGTGTTGATATCAAAGGTTTTGTTTTGTTTTGTTAATATGTATTAAACTAATATTATAGTAGAACATTACGAAATATTTGGAGTATTGCATTAGTGACTGTAATTTAGTTTTGAAGATTCAACATCAACGGCATGGAAACCTAGGTTTGAATCCTAATATACATTGATGTAGATTTAAAATGTATGTTTTTTGGTCTTCTTACATATGATAAATTTAATTTTTTTTCTTTCAATAATAATAATGATTTCTCTTATGTATAATTTTCAAAAAGATATGTTTTGTATAATTGGATTAAAATTATATCTAAAATATCATTATATAATTTATTTAAATTTATTTTTTTATCTGTAAGTGATGATAGTCGAGGTGGGATATAAAAAAGTGTGATACTCTCAATTGCAAACATGATATTAGGAAGATTAATATATAGTGTAATGGGCATAATCAACACTAGGAATTACTTAAATAAAAATGTTTAAATAAAAATAAATAAAAGTAGGTAAACATTAATAATATTTTGTGTATAAGCTTCTTAGAAGCTCCATAGATGTTGATTTGACTTTATAGATGTTTGTAGGTGATTAGTGAATTGAAAACTTGGCAAACAAGTTGGCCAAGTGTAGCATATGTTAGCCACTTGTAGTACAAGAAACTTGCCTTATAAGTTAGATACATGTCACATAAGTTGGATAATTATTGGAGGTCTTATAAAAGGTTGCTATATAGCTCCTAATTAGGAAGTATATATAGAAGTAAGAAAGAGGTATTTTTTCACTCTTGTTAACTTTTTTCTTGCTTCTTGTCTACTTGTAAGAGTCTCTAGTTTTTTATTCTTTGGAAATAGCCATTCCAATTTCTTCTTGAATATACATATTTTTTTTATTTCAATTTTATCATCATTTTTTTTTCTTTTTTTTACACATCTTACTTATTTATGTATCTTTTTTGAATTCTTATTCTTGATAGATTAACAAGAATATACCTTCAAGATTACAGATTTGTTTTTTTTTTAAAAATTAAGAATGGATTACTTCTTTTTCTTAATAAGACATAAACATATTAGAAATTGTAGGTTGTCTACTTCTAAATTGATATTATTTTTAGATTTTAAAAAGTTCTCGAGTCTTTTTTTTTACTTGTTTTAAGTGATATCATTTATTTATTTTATTTATTTTTTTATTGTATTATTATAGTAGAGCTTATTGAAATAAAGAATACAATAGAAAAAATATAAGAATAAATGAAGAAGTTAATGCTTATAATGCATCAATTCTATTCATTACCATAAGAAACAATTAGATTAGTTGGAAGTGATAATATAGAGATGATTGGAATTGCTTCAATATCTATACCAAATCATATTTCTTTTCTTTTGGTGGAATATTGTTTAAGTGCTAAATAATCAAGAATTATCTTATCTAAGAAGTTTAATGATATAAGATCAAAGTTTCAAGAATTCATCAATCAAGTGCAATTAATGATTGAACTTTAACATCAAAGTTATTCAACTCCAAAATTACTTATTAGATCTATTTGAATATTACTTTTAGATTTTGATCTATTATATTATTCATCTTTTTTTTGAATGATGTAATCCAATACTACATAATTTGGAGGTTTTTTTTTTGGTAGAGTTTCAATCTATATATAAAAAAAATTATGTAATTTTTATTATAACTAATAAGACTTTTATTTTGCATCAAAAATTTAATTAATAATATTATGTATTTTATAATTTTGAAAATTAGAGATTGATATGAAGTAGGATGTTGTTGCACTCATCAACCAATATTTGTAAAAATTACAATATGACATAAAAAAATTAATGCTAAACTTATTTGATCCTCAAACATTAAGTTGAGCAATTAAATTTGTTGTGAAGTGTGACAATTGACTTTTAGAATTTCAATCTGAGAGCAACATAATTAGGTCACAATATTTTTACAACTTGATAGCAATACCAATATCTTTCTAATACATACATTTAAAAGTAGAAGATATGAAAATTAATGCAATATATTTTAAATATCTCACCAAGAAAGAAAAGACTCAATGTTATAAAAGAAGGCTTGTGTATATGATATGGAGAATCTAAATATAATATTTTTAAGGATATAAATGACAAATAAATAAAATCTTAATATATTCTTATGTCATTTAGAAAGAACAAATATTTATTTGAAATTATTATAATATTAAATTAAAATGACTATTCTTAAAGATAAAAAGATTGGAGACTCTTGAAATAAGATTAAAGACTAGATAAACATTGACAATAATGAAAAAGGCTTTAGTCTTGCCTTCATATATGCTATCTGACTTTGAGCTATGTAGTGACATTTTATAGAACTTCTACTACATATTCAACTTGCGAGTCATGTGTTTAGCTTACAAGACAAGTTTTACATGAGTACCACATTGCAAACTTCAATTATAAGTGGCCAATTTGTTAGCCAAGTTTTCAACCTACCAAATCACTTATAAATATATATAAAGTCAAACCACATCTATAAAGCTTTTAAAAAGCTTTTCTATGAGATATTATTATTTTTTTAAAAAATTCTACTTATTTCTATGTAATTTCTTTAATCTAGATAAATATGTATATTTGTGATATTATCTTATATTCTAGAAATAAGTTCCACAAAAAAAAAATCATATTAAGAAAGTCTAAGTTACAATAAATTATATTTGCTACATATTTTATTTTTTATTTTTTTGGAGGTAGTTGATAGGTCTTCAAAGCCATCAATAGTCTCTCATACCAAGGCATAAAGACCATCTTAATATTTAATTATTGTTGAGGTGTTTGTAACTTCTTTCAAATAATTTATTTAAACTCCATCAAGGATAATTCTTACTTCCATTAATATCACCAAAAATTAAGATTTTCTTCTAAGGTTGTGATATCAAAAATATTATATTTCACCATCTATTCAAGAGAGAATATTTTGTTCTTAAGGGACTTTATTTCTATTATGTTCTTAAGAAGGTTGTGGCAATTGTAATGACTTTTTGATAATTCAATAAACAATAATTTTTTAGTTGAATTTGTTTATTTTTGATTCTTTATCTTTTTAGTACTATAAATATATAGAAATTATAAATAAAGATATATAATAGAATGCAAACTACCTTAAATCTTGTTGTTTTTATAGTAAAGAACTATTATTCTTTATCTTTGATTTTATGAATATTGTCCATAAAAAATATTAATCTTCTTTATTATATTTACAAATTTTTTAGTTGGCTTTCTATATGCATTTATTAATATAATATGAGCACCAATAAATAAGATATTTCAACTTATTTTAGTGCCACCTTGAGTCTAAGACTTCTTTGATTTCAAACTCTTGATTATTATTCACTTCTAGAAGAGAATGTAGCATTTGTTATCATCTTGATATATCTATTATCTTATATGCTTAAAAAAAAGATATATAGAATATGAGCAGATCATAATAGACTTTGATATGTTTTAAAAAAAGAAGTTTGAAGTTACAACACATAAAATCAATAAGATTACACACAAAAAGAGTATGAAATAAGATATTTCTCACTTCAAACATCCATTACTTATAGATGGTAGTTGCTGCCTTAAAAGATATTTTTTACTCTTTGACTTCTATACATATGGTCATAGGATTCTTTTCCATCTAATTTACCACACAACTATTCTTTGATCCAAGGATCCTTTAGCATATCACTAAATATGAGAAAATCCTATACTTAACATTAATTACTCTTACCTAATCTTTAGATATTTTTTAGTGTATATTTTATTTTTGAACCTTTGGTCCTTGACTTTAATCTATATCCATAAGATGTCTTTTTTATATACCAAAAATAAATCTTTTAACTATTAAAAAATAACTTAAGATAATATCTTTTATAAAGTAATTTAGTTTACTTTCACTTTTACAATGATTCAAAAAATTGTTTCAATGTTGACATATTTTGAAAAGAATGCTGTTTTACAAATAAATTGTAGTGAGTATTGACATGTAGATTGTATAGAAAATAAAGTATTCCTTTATAGCTACCAAATGAACCTAAGTTGAAAAGAATCCATTAGATAATTGCTGAGCTATGACCAATCTAATTTGGAGTTGTATCAAAACAATGTTTTGAATATGATATCAAATTTTTAGATTCTATCAATTACTCAACATTCTATCATCATTAGATTTACTATGAAAATATTATTACTAATCTAATGACATCATTAATGCTTACTAACAGCTATAAAAGCACCATTCTTAATCACAATTTTTAGCATGGACATATTCCAAATTACCACATTCTAGGACCTTCTAAAATCTTCTACAAATTTCTAGAGCCTTTTAAATACTTGTAGAATCTTTCATAATATAAATCTCCATCTTTTTGAGAAATCATC